GCGGAACCGGGCATTGAACTCAGGCCCTTGTGCTTGCCAGGGAAGCGCTTATTCTACTGAGCTATCTCCCCCGCCCTTGATCACTTTCATTTAAAAGAATATGTTCAGTTTCTTAGTATATTGCATACTTTGATTACTATATACCCATTAATTTGGATAAAGTCTAAAATGTCATTAATGTACTTTGAGGAGGAAGTTTAAAGCCCTCTTAGGAACCTCCTGCTTCCAAAATTTCCGAGTTGGGCTCATTTATTGGGTTCGGCTAAAGCATTGCTCTCTGTATGGACACTTACTCTGCATTCTGAAGCACAGCTCCACGTTGGTAGTGCGGTGATTGGATGTAGAGGTCCCAAAGAGCCTGCCTCAACAGGACTCAGCTCAGGCTGGAACTTGGGGCATGGACGTGACAGCCTTCTTTATTTCTATACAGATATTCCTGGCTTTAAACCTGGAAGGATAGGCGGGGGACTTACAGATAGTTTTCCCAGAAAAGCATTTCTTCCCCTGGGTCCAGCAAATGTAAGCTGCATGTCCAGCCCCGCCCCATGTGACTCATCCTCTCCTGCCCCTCGCATCCTCACTTCACACTTGTCACTTCCCCAGAGAGGAGGTAGCCATGGCCCTTGTCCCCAGCTCCCATTGGCTAAGCAAAGCCCAAAGCCTGGAGGAGGAGGGGCTTCTGTCTGTGGAGGGGCCAGGTGGGGGTGCTCCTGGGAGGCAGCCCTGGAGGGCTGTGAGCCGTGATGGAGACCTGGGCCTCTGCCCTGGACAGGGCTGTTCTAGAGCCACGTGGTGTAGCAGCACAGCCTCCGGACGCAGTTGGGGAGCATGCTGCCCACAGAGCTCCTGAGGAGCAGCTCCTCGACTGGTTTTATTTGGTTGTTTCTTTTGGTACTGGGGATCGAACTCGGGTTTGTTCTGCTGAGCTATCTCCTGGCTCGATTGGGGTTTTGATCCCTTCAGGTGAAAGGGAGGCTGTGCTGTTCTCAGGAGGTGGGTCACCGTTCCTGTGGGAGCTGGAGCTTATATGTACTCCAGGTAGTGGATGGGGCGGAAAGGAGGTAGAGAGAACTGCTTCTCTTAAGCTGATTATGGTGGTGCACACCTGTCATCCCAGCATTTGGGAGGCTGAGGCAGGAGGATCATTGCGAGTTTGAGAGCAGCCTGGGCTACTTTTTTTTTTGCGGAACTGGGGATTGAACTCAGGCCCTTGGGCTTACCAGCGAAGCACTTATTCCACTGAGCCATCTCCCCAGCCCCTACAAAGTGAGCTTAAGGCCAGCCTGAACTGCATAGTGAGACCCTATCTCAGAAAGAAATATATAATCTGTTTGTTGGTTTCATCTTGTGGTCTTCCCAGAGTTCCAGACTTGCCATGTTTGCCCTAGTTTAGCCTCATTGCCCTCTGGCTTGTGAGTTGCATTAAATAATTTGGCCTCAGTATCAAGGAGCAGACAGATGATGCAGGCTTCTCTTCTGCAGCCCTGAGCAACCCCAGCCTGGGTTCAAGGCAGAGGTGGAGCATCTGGGTGGGGCGTTAGACTGGGGAAGAAACCCTCTACATCCTCCTTCCAAAAATGCCTTCGAGCCCTGTCTCGCTTGCAGCATTTTGATAATTAGGTTGGGCAGCTGCAGGTCGAAGTTAAGCATCTGATTCCGTTGGCTTTCCTGGCAGGTGACACGCGCTGCCTCCTTGTGTGCACTGGTGGCGGTGGGCAGTCCTGAGGGTGGATACTAGGGGGAGAGTCCCACCCTGCAGTGAGCAGAAGCAGGCAGAGGTCTGCCCAGCTGTGGCCTCTAGCGCTGACGTGCAACATTCCTTGTGCTCCAGGTGCTGCTGTTTCTTTAAAAGGAAAAGGAAGAAGAATGCTCAGCGCCACAAGTGACCAGTGCCTCCCTGGAGTCCTCAGGGCCTGGGGACTCTGACTCCATTGCACCTGCAGCTCCTGCCATTTCTCATTGGAAGGAACTCCTCTGTGAGGGAGGGTGGAGATCCAAACCAAAAAGAAGAAAACAGATGCCCCAGAAGGAGCCAGGGCATGCAGCCAGGCCCCGTTGTCGGGGGCTGCCCCTCCTGCCTGAGCTCTGGGCAGGCCCCAGAGCTGCTGCTCCTGCACTGCTTGCCGGGGCTGCCTGCTAGACCTCCTTCCCATTGTTTACAGTGAAGGTGTCTTTCACAAAGACTCAAGGACTACTGCTCTTCCTCCCTGCCTGTGCTCCTGGTTCTGATCCCCCCAGCCCTCAGCCACATAAAAGCTAGTGAGCTAAAGGCTTTGTGTGTGGAGGGGCCCGGGTGGGTATGGCCGAGAAGGTAGGAGGACAGTGGCGGCAGGCCCAGGCCAGGCCTGGAGAACCTCCCTTCTCCGCCGCCTCGCCGCCTCGTGTGTCTGCAGCATGGCTTCCTATGCTCCGTGCCTGAGCAGCCTGGCGCCCAGATGGCTGCAGCGTTCAGGTTCCTTCCTCCCTCTCTCCTGTGAATTTACACTGTAGGACACAAGCTGTGAGATGTCTGCAGTCTACTGTCCCCGCGTGGTGGCATTTGTAGCTTGCTTGATGAGCGAGTTCCTTTCTCCAGGCGGTAGCAGGACTTGCGAATTGTTCTGAGCAAAGGAAAGAAAACTGACTTTATTGCACTTTTAGTTGTTGTTTTTTCGGTTTTTTTTTAAACAAGGCAGATGCATAATATGTCTAGTTATATTGGGGATTTTACTTTTTCTGTTCTGAGGGGATGGGCCAGCCAAGCCATTCAGATTCAGAGAGAACATGGGTCCAGAGGACGTTGTCCACGGAAAGAGTTTGATCTGCAGCACCCAGAAGAGAAGAAGCCAAACTCTGTCATTCTGAGTGAACACTCAGGTTGGCAAGAAACATACTTGAAATTTCATTCGTCTTCTTAGCTGCTGAAGAACATCTCTCCCACAGCCTCCTGACCCGACCCGCCTGCAGTTCGCAAGCCTAGCTTCAGCACATGGAGTGAACGGTGAGCCAGACTGTGACCAAAAGACTGCTCACCCACAGAGGGAGATTCTTGTCAGGAAGTGAATCCAAAATGTCTTTTTTCCTCACTGCCAGGGATGACCTAGTAGATAAGTCATGTGACTTTCTGGTGACTTTGGGGATGAATTAGTGGCTGAACGGCCACCACAATATTGCCAATAGTGGACTAAAAGCAGATAGTAAACCTGCCTTTCAGCTACCAGAGAAGCTTCAGGGTGTGGCATACTAGGGCCAGGAAAAGAAAGTCATTGTGTCCCATCTGTCCTAAGAGCTGAGCTGTAACGTGTGGGCTGGCTTGCCTTACCTGAAACCAGGCCCACAGCATCCGGACCTAGGGCTACGTGAGTGGAGGTGTAGCAGTTTGGTGCTGGGCAACTCCAGGGCACAGGAGACTTAGCTGAAAGGTCTGCATTACCTCTTTAATCAGACATAACTTGCAGCTAGGATGGCTACGCATCTGAGCGTGTTCTCCCCAGTATAGCCAACACTCCCACCAAGGTAGCTTCACGGGATGTATGACTGTTCAGTGTTTGAAGTTCGTCATGTCTGGAGTTAATCTCCTGCTCCATTTTCACTTCAGGGTCCTTTCCCGACAGTAGTTTCTCATCCTGACGTGACAGACGAGAAAGGCTCATTGACATCCAGGGAAGATATCTGATACCTCTGAACAGAGAGCTAACGGTGCAGGGCATCACTAGTGCAGTCTGGTGGTTGGCGGAGCCTAGCAGTGCCTGTCCCTGGCTGGAGGCATAGGGCCGGCTATTGGACCAGAGGAGGTGGGTTTACATTTTGGTTGCTGGCACTTCCTCACAAGTCTGTGATGCTCCTTTGTGAGTCAGAAATGCCAGATGTGTTCACCTGTTTTATGGAACCCAAGCTTGGGAAAATCACTTCCCTGGCTTCAAACCCATTTAGCTTATATAAAGGCTGCAACTTGCCATTTCTTTAAAAGAAGTGTTTAGCATACGAAACAGTGGCAGAGAGAGGCAGCGTCATGCCTCTCTCACGAGGACTTTGCCGGCTGGGGTCTGCTTGCCTGCTGATTCCTAATGGATAACGCCCATTACCGAAATTAGTCTCATTTGGCATTTGGGCAGCTCTAACTTCCTATAAAGAAATTGTGATGTCCTCATCCCTGCATAGAAAACGCCTTGCCTTTCAAGGGAGGGCAGGGGACATGGTGGCAAAGCCTGGAGCATCTGGACTCGCTGTACCCCACTAAGTGCCTCCCCACCCTGCTTTCACAAAAAAGCAAAGGCAGTGACCAGCTTGGCTGCAGGGCAGACTGTCTTGCAGCTGGGCTTGTGACTTTTTTTGTCTTAAAATTTTTATAGGCTAGCTCTTGAGGGGTTGCACCTGAGCAGTTGGGGGTGGCTTCCCGATGCACTGTTCTCCTCCTCCAGACCCACCCCATCTTTTATTAGGTATATGGTCTTCATAGCAGAGATGACTAGCCCCAGGTCCCTGTAGCATGTAGGGTAGTGGTGAGCCTTCCGAGGCCCTTTGCACTCCAAGATGGTCCCAGAGCTGAGAGATTGTATTGCAGTCTCACACAGAGTGAATGCACCTGCCCCCCAGGAAAAAAAAACAAAAAACTGAACACCCAACAATCAGTTCCAGCCCTGTTGCAGGGCTGTGTGCCCCAGCCAGACCCTGGGGGCAGCCACTCCCTCCAACCTCTACCCATAAGTCTACTTTGTAGTTTTTCAGCGTGCTCCATTTCATAGCCATGATGTCTGAGGATCATTTTCTTTTTTGAATCAGTGCAAATTCAAAGTACGTTCTCAACGTCCTTGGGTTTTTAAAGCCCTAAGACTTGAGGCATTCTCTAAAGTACTGCCGTCCATCAGAGGAAGCACCCTGACTGGACTTAGGCAAGCAAAGCACGATGCCACCAAGGCATGCAGCATCTTTTGTGACCAGACCAGGATGTGGGCCTGCGCTGTCTTCCTCCTCAAGGATGGGTCAGGTGGCTCCACAAAGATGGAGGAATATCCTAGCGGCCAGTGTGTGCTCATGACTGCCTTAATTAACATTGGTTTTGGGTTCTGTGTTGGAAAGAACAAGGTTTAGGAAAGTATGAGTCAGGTGACCAGTGAAATTCCATTTGCTTTAGAATGCATGTGGTTTAGAAGACTGGTTGAGGTAGCCATTAGAAAAACTGGTGATTTCCTATTTATTTTCAGTTCATTCCAAGTACATGGAAATGGTCCCCACATTTTTCCAGACAGCTTCCTTCACTTACAAAAGTAACTTCCAACAAGGCAGTGAAAATGCTTATTCAGTATTAGTAACTACTTTGAATGTCAGAAATATGCACCAAGGTTAAAGTTATGTTAGAGTGGTTACTAATGGTCATAGCCTTAACTGATTTTTTGTTATTTTTGGTAACATAAAAGATAGCCCTTCCACCTCCTAGTGAATAAGCATGGCCTGCATTTCTCAAAAGTAAGAATTTCCATGGCAGCCTAGACAGCATCTCTCTAAAAGAACTGGTCTTTCTGGTGCGTCTCTCTGAAGCCCCCGTGCTTCCTGGGCCCCAGCCTCCTCCCCCATGTGCATATTAAGCCAGTTGTCCATTCCCATCCAGTTGCCAACAGTGTTGTCTCATGTCAGAGCCATGCTGGGGCTGGCGTTTCTCAAGTTGGGAGTTTGTGGGGCCATTCAGCCAACATTGCCTTTGCCAGGCCACTGCCACCAGCCTACCACTGCCTCATAGTGGGTGGATGAATTCCAGAGACCCTCAGGGAGCCAGGATAACCAGGTAGCCCATCTGGATTGGCCATGTTGGTGACAGGCCCTAACCCTGGGGTTCTTGCTTTGTAGACTCCAGGGAAGCCCCACCTGAAGTTGGTGTTCAGTAACTCCCAGGATTTCCTGCGATGAGTTGGAGTCAAGTTGGGTGTCCTTTTGGTTTGGGGGTTTGTTGGTGCTTAGTTTTGTTTCTGTATAAGAAAAAGAAGAGGCAAATGTTTCCCTTCTGAGTCTATAGAATTTTGAGCCGTGTTTAGCCACAGGTCTTCGAAGTGTGATCCAGTAAGCAGTCTTAAAATTTTCTTCCTAACTCCTTTGCACGCTGAGAATAGGTTTCTCAGCGTAGTCACAGTAGTCCATAGGTCCCTGAGTATGGACAGTAGTGCAGTAGTTGACACATTTTTCTCAGAATGAACCAGAAAACCCACTCCAGTATTTGTAGATTTCCTGCAAAGGAAAAAGTGGGCTGTACTCCACATATTTCTGCTTTGATTACCAAACTTGATTTTATAAAGAAACCTCAATTGGGTGGATAGAATTTCTTGTCTTTTATGTAAAGTAACTTTTCCAGTGCCATCACCCCTTGAAGGTCTCAGAGCAGATGATTATCCACAGTAGTATGTAGGGGTGCTGTGCAGTCATCTGGGGGCGATAGGCCCACGAGGACTGCTGTCAGAACTGCCTCCAACTCCCTCTTTCAGGGTAGCTGCAACACTCAGTGCTCCTCTTCATGAGCTCCAGGCCAGCCCTGCACCAAAAGCCTTTTTAAGGCTTATTATCTGTCAGGAATGTCTCAGGAAAGATGAGCCATTTCTTGGTGGGGAGGGGGGGAAATGCATTTACAGATGGGGGTGTGTGTGTGCGTGTGTGTGCGTGTGTGTACGTGTGTGTGCTCTTCTCTGTACATTTCACTTTGATAAAACAACGCAAGGCTGCGGGGAACCAAGAATCCCTGAGTTTTACTTGTCACAGTGACAGGTGAGCTTCTCCAGTCGCGTCTTAGCAAGCTGGCTCTTGGAATGAACCCCATTCATGAAGGAGGGAAGAATAACAACAGGAGAGAAAGAGGTGAAACCAAAAATACTGTAAGTCCCCCCAATGGAAAGTAATGTTGACTCAGCAATTCCCATTGGTGATATTACATCCTCTAATTTATTATATTCTTTGTTTCTTTAATCTTTGCCCATTGTACTCTTAAGATGTTGGGATGTTGATTGCGATTTTTTTTTAACTATATAATGTATAAATCAGTTGTGGAAATCAGTTTTAATTGATGTGTGGATGTGTCTTATTATTAAATGCCTTTTTTTAAAGATATGTTTCATAGACCCTGGCACTGGTCGCAAAGCTTAGCTGTGAAAATGAAACTTCTAGTATTTTTAAACATGAATGTCTATTTCAAGTGTATTTGAAGTGGTTCCTCCAGGCGAGATTACTACACCATAGGGGAAGGCACCAAGGAAGCAGCCATCCCTGGACGAAATGGAAAATGGGTCCTGACGGTGTTTCAGCATAGCCCGTTTCCTCGGGCACCTTGGGAAACGCAAATGTGACCTCAAGTATACCTTGTCCCCAGTTGCTGGAGGAACAGGACTCAGTTTGCACCCTTTTTGTATGTAAAATAAAATGTCTTACCCTTCTTGGCTACTTTCACTGGTTTGGCTCATTGGTCTGTCTTTATCTCCCTGGCTCATTTCTAACTAGGAATCTGGCTAGGAAAATAATGCCAGATACTTTGGAATTCTTGCTTCACTCCTTTTCGGTTGAATATTACTATCTATCTCATACTCATTTCGAAAATAAGTAGACTTAGAATATGGCCACTGTCACATGTCCGCCTCAAGGGGTAGAACGCACAGGAAGTCAGACTGCTTAGCGAACAGTGCTTGCAAGTGTTACAGCTGCCTCTGAAGAACATGGGTATTAGCACTGCAGAAAACGGGAGGCGGCCAGGATGGTGCCCTGCAGTTCTAGAGCGCCCCGAGTTCCATCCGTAGCGCTGGGCGCGCACAGGATCTGTTGAGCGTTCGCTCCTTGCGCAAGAGTCCGCTTTGAGCGCGCACAGGGAACTTTTTTCTCAGTGACAGTAGGCAGCCTGAGACGTTAGAAGCTCCCCACTCTGAAAAGGGCGAGGCTGGGAAGGTGGTTTTTGGAAGATCCTTCTCAATTGGCTATCTAAAAGCTGCAGGGACATCTGGTATAAAAGAGGGACAAGTTAGGGAATGGTGGTGCCCATGAATGACTTCCAACAGCCCAGCACCCCGTGTAGAGCCCAGTCTGCAGAGCTCCACCTGAGAAAGGGAGCCTCGGCTTCTACCAAGTTCATCCTTGAAAACTTTTTTGGTCGCACTGCGGGTTGAACCAAGAATCTTCGCTCTGAACTACAGTCCTAGTCTTCCTAAAACTTTTTTATTAGAGACGTTTAACACCATACAACCATGAAATAGGAAAATGTAAGCGTACCATGTTTATTTTTTACAGGTGTACAAGAGTCTTGCTACCAGGGTCAGCCACATAGCTCAGCTGACTAAAGCACCTGCTTAGGCAGAGCGCCCCGCCAGGGTTTGATCCCCAGTATGCCGGTGCCAGCCCCAACTCCAAGGTGCGATGAGATGGCTGATTGAGACTGGGCGTGGTGCCATGCGCCTGTAATCCCAGGGCTCGGGAGGCTGAAAACAGGATCACCTCGAGTCCCCTGTGGACGCTGTAGACCTTGTACTAAAAATACATTTTTAAAAAAGGACCAGGGAGATGGTTTAATAGAATAAACGCTTGCCTGGCAAGTGCAAGGGCCTGAGTTCAATCCCCCTTCCGCCAAAAATTGACAAGCACAAGGGTCTGCATTCAATCCCCGGTTCCGCCAAAAAAAAAAAAAAAAAAAAGGATGTCAGCTTCAGGCCGTGCTAACGCAAAGTTATCTTAGCCCGTACCTAAGCGCCAACTCCTGCAGCACTGTTGGAGGAGCCCTATGCACATTGGACACTGTACTTCGCTCAAAAAAAATAAAACGTGATGTAATTTTAAAAAACGGACAAGAAATGTGAATGGTGGAATAGGCATGTAATCCCAGTACTTTGGGAGGCTGAGTCAGGAAAACTAAATTTGAGCAGAGGTGGAGGGGTGGGGGGTGTTGTGCAACTCAGTGTGACCTTGTCTCAAAAATAATAATAATAATAATAATAATAATAATAATGAAAAGGCTAAGGACATAGCTCAGTGTGAAGGCCTTTGGGTTCAATTCCCAGTACAAAGAAAAAAAGTTATTTCAGAAACAGGCAAAGGAAGTTATGCACAGAATATACAACGAAGTATGCACTGACTCCAGCGGATGCAGGGGATCAGAGGAGAAAAAAAGGGCAGTAAAATGACAAGAGACTTTTTTTTCGGAGACATTATTTAAAGCAAATTTTGCAAGACAAGAAGGAGCTGCAGGTTGTGCTACACAACTAACTCGTGCAGAAGTTTTGGAAGCCAGCACACTGAATGCGAGTGACCAGCGTCGGTAGTCTGCATCCTGTCGCGGGCTTGCCCAGGGCCCAGGGGCGGGGCGTGCTGGGTCCGACGGTCAGAGGACTCAATCCCCAAGCTGGTCCCGCGCCTCCGCCCGCCTACCGCCTTCCTGGGGCGGGCTCACGTGCCGCGGACCCAATGAAGGCGCAGAAACGTGGCAGCCGCCCGCGACTCCGCGTCCCCTTGAGCGCTCGCCCCGCCCCAGCGGGGACCTACCATCCTGTGCCTAGACGGAGGGGAGAACCGTGCTTGGCCCCCGCCAACCCGGCTCCCGCAGCTCCAGGGACCCCCGCGCGGTGGCGGCGTCCGGCCTCGCCGCCCCATCCCCACCCTTTCCGTCCTGGCCGCTGGGCCTTGCTAGCTCGTGCTGTGGATGCTGCGCCTCTCCGAGCGCAACATGAAGCTGCTCTTCGCCGCCGCCCTCATCGTGGGCTCCGTCTTCTTCCTGCTGCTGCCAGGGCCCTCCGCAGCCGACGAGAAGAAGAAGGGGCCTAAAGTCACGGTCAAGGTCCGCGTGCCCCCCTCCCGCTCGGGTCCGGCCGCGGCACAGCTGGCCGCGGCGTCCTGCTCTCTGCTGGGACGTCCTTGGCTTTGGCTTCGTTCATCGGTGGGCGACCCTGGACTCGTGGCGCCTGGGCCGTCTGATCCCCAGGCCCGGGAGTGGCCCGGATCCTCCCCAGCACACTCCTGCCCAGACCTAGGGTGGTTCCTCGGGGTCCCAAATGGCTGGTGCGGCCTAGAAGCCGGCCCGGGGCCAGGCTTTATGTTAAGAACCTGCAGTGCTGAGGAAATGCCCAAATAGTGCGCCCCTCTCGCTTTGTCTCCCTTTCAACAAATCTTAGCTACTTAAAATTGCCAATCACAGTAGATAGAGCTTAAACTTACATCGCGAGTTTAGACTTCCCTCGTTTTGTTTTTCTCTTTTTAATATTAATTTATCTGAGCTCACTTAAATCAAGCAACGATGTTATCTTGCAATGTGAGGAGAGTATGTACAAACATTTTTCGGGTACAGGGCCTGATGCTTTCTTTAAATTTTCACAGTATTTTTGCATCCACCAAAATGAAATTTAGAACTGCTGCCTTTATATGGCTCAGGGTGGACTCATTGCTATATGCCTGTAATCCCAGCGACTTGGGAGGCTGAAGTAGGTGAGTGGAGAGTTGGAGGCCACCCTGAGAAACAGCCCGTTTCAAAAAGGGTGGGAATATCTGCTCCCTTCTTGCGCTCTTCCTGAGCATCGCCACCTTGGGACCATGTTTGAAATAACCTTTTTTTTCCTCAGGTGTATTTTGACCTACGAATTGGAGATGAAGATGTGGGCCGGGTGGTCTTTGGTCTCTTTGGAAAGACTGTTCCAAAAACGGTGGATAATTTTGTGGCCTTAGCGACGGGAGAGGTAAGTGGCTGGAGCGGTGGTTGTCACCTCAGTGTAGTAGGGACGGCAGCAAACTGGAGCACAGTGTGCAGCCCACATGGTAAAAGATTCCTTTGAGGACTGGCTGACTATGGATGTCCCTGGGGACCCAGTTGTGATCTTAGGAGGAAATGGCCTGGAGCATCCCTGGGAGACTTTATCCCGAGATACCACTCAGGGTTTCAAGAAAACAAGAGCACTCTTATCCAGGTGTGGTGGTGCACACTTGTAACCCCAGCACTCCACAGACTGAGCCAGGAGGATCGCTGGGAGTTTGAGACCAGCCTGGGTTATGTAGTTCAACACCAGCTTAGCCTACCTAGCAAGCCTCTGTCTCACTGCATTGGGCCAGCAGGTGACCCTTTTTCTTTGTTTTCTTCTGTCTGTTCTTGTGATTAGGAGAGAAGGGAAAGGCATTATGTGACATAGGATTGTGTAAAGCTGGGACTTGTACACAGGCAGAGGACAGTGGAGTCTCAGCCATTCCCATGTGTGCTGTGTGTCTGGCCAGCAGTAGTCTCTTGGGAGGAGTTGCAGTGTAGGTTCCTGCAGGCCCTGTTCTATGTCTGTGTGCTGCATCATGCCACCTCCTTGCTGTCTCCTTCTTTGTAGAAAGGCTTTGGCTACAAAAACAGCAAATTCCATCGGGTGATCAAAGACTTCATGATCCAGGGCGGAGACTTCACCAGAGGAGATGGCACAGGAGGTAACCTCGGGTCCCTGGGACAGAGGAGGCTGTTGGCGTAGCCCCAGAGGTGGAGGGCTGGGCTGTATGGGGCACGCGAGGCTTCTTCTGTCCCCAGCTGCAAGACAGGCCCCTCGCCTACAGTGACAGCTGTCTCCATCTGAGCAGAGGAGAGGGAGAAGAGGGGTCAGGTAGACCCACGAAGATCAGCTCTAGGAGATGAGTGTACGGGGCTGTGGAGGCAACCAAGGACAGACATGTGGGTCAGCACGAAGCCTGTGTGCCCCAGCTTGGAGGCCCCAGCCAGGATCTGAGGAGGTGCTTGCCTTGGTGGACAACTCCAAGGATCACAATATTCAAAGAACAGAAATTCAGACACTGAACTAATCACTTAGCTCCCCAGCCTGCTGTTTCCTCAGACCCCAGGAAGGAGGCACCCAGCGTAGAAAGATCACTGAGCAGCAGCCTTCCCACACCCACTTGCCCAGTGCCCAAAAATTCCCTCCTGGGCCATAGGACAGCATCTAGGACTTAGCCTTTCCCCTCAGGTTGTTCATCATCAATGTAGGAAGCACTAGAAGAAGCCCTGAAAGCTTCTTAGTAACACAAGACTTGAGAACGAGGGAGGCAGAGAGTGGAGATGCTACAAACAGCAGTGCTCCTGCAGTCAGATGGTTGAGATTGAATCAGCGTCCACCATGCTTGCACTTCACGGCCTCCCTCAGGCAAGCCAGTCCTCGGAGCCTCAGTGTTCTCTTCTGTGCAGGCAGAGACGTAAAGGTGGTGAGTGCACAGAGGCATCGGTGAGATCTCGGGTGTTAGGTGCCTGATGAGATCGGGCCACAGGGGCCAGGCAGTGGCCCTGTGAATGGGAGGGGTGGTTCCGAATGGACCCAAGCTGTGAGCCTGGCTCTGTTCTGTAGCAGCAGCATGGCAAAGGGGAACTAGGGTTGGAAGTAGAACACGTCTGGTACAGAGGGGGTTTTGGCTGGAAGCCCGGCTTGGTACTCTTCAGGATTAGGGTCCTGCTGAAGGTGTGAGTGGAAAGATGACCCAGTCACAGGGGTGAGATATGGCAAGGTTTGGATGAGGTGCACAGGATCAGCTGCTGCTGAGGAATTGTGCAGCTGTCTTTTGGCAAGGTAGCCTGGGCTCAGGGCCCTGCATAGTATCCGAGTATGGAGGCATATTTTTCAGACAGGTACCCAGAATCGAACTCAGGACTTCATAGTTGCCAGGCAGGCACCATGCCACTGAGCTATATCCCTGGCCCTGAGTAACCAAGTATGGCAGACCTGGGAACCAAGCCATCTTGATTGAGATTCCAACTCGGCTACATCCTAGTGGGTGCCTTTTGACCTCTCAGTTTCTTTATCTGACTTACTAGCTCCTGCCTCAAAGCTGGATCGGGAGATAGCTCAGCAGATTAAAGCACCTGCTTAGGCAAGAACAGGGACCAGGTTCTATCCCCAGCACCACATGCTGTGCCAGCCCTGCCCCAGAGCCAGCTAAGCTGGCCAGAGTTTGGACATGGTCGCACACTCCTGTAATCCCAGCTCTGGGAAGGCTGAAAGCAGGATCATCACGAGTCCGAGCTGTGTGATGAGACCCTGCAATAGCCAAATACATTTGTGGGGGAGGAGGGGACCATTAGACTGAAATGCCTAGAACAGTCTCTGCTTACCTCTTCACTACCAGGGATCAAGATAGTTACAGGAAAGGGGAGATGGGATGAATACACAGGGTGGGGACAGGAACGTACAGAGGAAAGGTCGCCAAGAGCAACTAGGGTCTGCTGGGCATCAGGTGAGGAGCACCCTTTGTAGTTTGAGGATATGTCATTGGCTTGGGATTTCCTGGATACAATAACTGAGATCCTGTGATTGGATGAGGTTTACAGAGAACCTGCTAATGGGAGCACCCCAGCCAGGAGTCACCAGGGGAAGGTGGCCGTCTAGCCTCTGCCCAGCTGGCACACAGGCTGGCACCCCGCCCATTGGCCATCCTGGGCTTTCAGTCTGACCACAAGTGTCATCAGTGGTGGTCCTGCCATCACTGTCTCCCCACCACCCTCTATCTAGAGTAGTTTCCCCGAGTGCAAATGACTCTTTAATGTGGGTTTTCTCAGAGTCCACTGAGGCAGGTGACAGGGAAAAGGAAGCATCCCAGTGCTACTCTTCTGGCACTGGCTAAAGAGGTGGTGTAGAGACCTACGCGCTCGGCCATTGTGTGCCCCGCCCCATAGGGACAGACTTGGGGCTCAGATCCACCACTGTCTTTTATTTTGCTCATTCCTTACAAGAGCCTCTAGATTCCCCACAATCCAAACAGCAGCTCCTCCGTGGCCCTTCTGTACCAACCCCTGCTGCAGCTGCGCTTGTCTTCTGTACTCTTCAGAAGCACAGCTGGTTAGCCCCAGTGCGCCCCACCAAAGTCCCTTAGGCCACAGCTGGGGGAGGGTCAGGTCTTCTAGTTGGAAGCCATAGTCACTCATCTGGATGTGCTGGTCATGACAACAGCCTGGACCAACCCCACCAACACCCTCCCCACCCCATCTCAGCAAGGTCTGGCTCCAAGGCTGGAGGATGGGGTGCCCAGGGACTGCTCACACCCAGCCTGGAACAGGACTGGTGGAGCTACCTAGAAGCCTCTGCCGAGGTGTGCCTGGTGTGGGCCAACCCCGCCCCCAGCCTGCCTGCTGCGCCCTTTTCCTAGGCAAGAGCATCTACGGTGAGCGCTTCCCCGATGAGAACTTCAAGCTGAAGCACTATGGGCCTGGCTGGGTGAGCATGGCCAACGCTGGCAAAGACACCAACGGCTCCCAGTTCTTCATCACTACGGTCAAGACAGCCTGGCTCGACGGCAAGCACGTGGTGTTCGGCAAAGTTCTGGAGGGCATGGTGAGTCCCACAGACAGACTCATGTCACCTAACCTTGGTGGAACCAAGAAAAAACAGTCCACATCCAGCTCCTCAGGAGGTTGAGACAGGAGGGACTTGTGAATGTGAGCGTTGGGGGCTTGTTGAAGCCACCACACTGTAGGATCCTGCTCATCACTAGCCAGGCTGAGCAGGGTGCAGCTGAGCATAGCGTCCCTGAGCAGCCATGTGGTAGCTCACTGCCAACTCACCTCTTCCTCCTCCTGACCTCATCCTGACCTGAACCTTCACAAAATTCTGCTGGCCCCTCAATGTCAGAGCTGCAAGAAAATCTGTGTCTTCAGCCTGTGGTGTGCCTCCCTCTGCCATTGGCTCATTAGAACTTGGTTCTTTGGGGTTCTACGCTGCATGTCCTTCCTCCCAGGTGGGACCCAGCCCTCTGGAGCCACATGGCAGGGACTGTTTCCAAGGGTAGCTGTCTTCTGACCAGTCGTCCCTTCCTAGGAGGTGGTGCGGAAGGTGGAGAGCACCAAGACAGACAGTCGGGACAAGCCCCTGAAGGACGTGATCATAGCGGACTGCGGCAAGATCGAGGTGGAGAAGCCCTTTGCCATCGCCAAGGAGTAGGGCGCCAGGGACCTGCGCCTTCCGCGTGACCATCTGCACCAGCCCCGCTGCCCTTGTGAGGGTAAAGGTAGCCTGGCCCAGAGCTCCAAGCTGTGCTGGCCCAGTGCTGGCACCGACTGAGTGGACCACTCACCTCACATTCTGCAGGCCCAATTTTGTAACAAACTACTGGTACCAATGCTGACCAATAAAAAAGTGAGGTTTTTTTTTTATAACCTGGGCTGGCTTAGGTCTGTAGCCTCCATCCAAACCCCCAAGTATGCATCCCACCATCAGGGTTCGGCTGCAAAGGTGGGTGCTTCTTGCCCTATCTCCAGGCTCAACTTCACAAGCTGCTGTGCCTCCACCTTACTGTCCCTGCCTCCTTCTGGTCTATGTCAAGAATTGTACTTGTGTCTCCCATCTTCCTCTAAATTGTCTTCCCTCTTGTTCCTCATCTCACCCTTCCTTGGCCCCTGCCTGGATGCTAAGACCACCCCAGCTGCCAGCACATGCCAAGTTCAAAGCCTTGATGGGGGACCAGGCATGACTGAGTGCTGGGTCCAGGCCCAAGGGTCACCCAGCCCTGTCTCTTGGGGTGGTGCTCACACAGCTGAGGCATGTGACTGCTCACAGCTGGCCCACAGGCTCCCAGACCCCTTAGGGCTCTGGTGGCAGAGGATCAGGGTCACAGTCGGCCTGGGGTGGGGCTGGGGCTGGGCTGATGCTGAATCCATAGAGGCCCTGGAGCACGCCACTCACCACCACGTCAGGCAGGGACTCTGCAGAGTAAACAGAAGGTCACCCTGGGCTGGCCAAAGTGGCAGACAGCAGCTGTCTACACCATGAGCCACTGGCATTCCAGGCCACGTTCTGTTCATGGCTTGGTACGCCTGCTTGCTGGGGAACTGAGACCAGGAAAACCAGGCCCACTCACCTCACTGGTGCCACAAAGAACTGGAGGAGGTAGGTGGGGCCTGGGGCTCAGGCCCTGGGCTTTCCTGTGACTGGAAAATGCTAAGGCCTCCACACCACCCTGGGAGCTAGGCCCTGAACATGGGCAGGTTACAGGCACCTGCTCACCTGGGGAAGGGACGCAAAGGTAAGGATCCCTGCAGAAGCTGAGGACAGGTCGATGGTGCAGCTGTGAACTGGAATAAAGAAGCTTATGAGCCGCGGGGTCATAAGGTGACAGGGGAGGTCACACGAGTATGGGGACTAGGGACAGATGGCCAGGGACCCACAAAGGGACAGGAGGGGAGAGGAAGGGAGGTGGGTGTGGGAGGCAACCAAACCAGACGGACAAGCCAGGCTGCCGCTGGCCTCTTCACACATGGCCAGCAGGGGGCAGCAGGCGGGCGCGGGTCCTGGCTTTCACTTGCCTGCTGCTGTCGCTAGGCAGGAATTCCCCCAGGGTGCTGAAAAGAAAGAGGCTCTGTGAGCTGTCTGGGGATGCCTGGGGGGTGGAGAGGGGGTGAGGAAGGGGTGCAGAGGCAGAAGCCTGGAGCTTCTCATCCCCTGGGAACCAGGCTCAGTAACGAAGCCAGTCTCCCAGCTGGCTGCAGCTAGTGTAACCAAGGTTGTCCAAAGCAGTGTCGAGAAAGCTGATGAGGGAGGTCAGGTCTCAGGAGGGAGGACCAAGCCAGAGCCTGGCAGGTGAGAGGAGGAAAAGGGTTCGCTCTCGCTGGCCTGCTGCCAAGAGTCCTGGCCCTCCTCACCCCCAGCTGTTGGCTTTGGGGTCCACTGGGAAGTGTCGGAGTCTCAAGAATTCCAGTAACTCCTTGGGCACATCTTGGTTCAGGTACAGGATACCCTGGAGAAGACACGGGAAACCTATAATCAAACCCAGCTACTAGTTTGCACAGCCCGGTGCCAATGAGAATGTGAGGCCCTTTGTTTTAAGAACAGTGCTGGGTCCTGCAGTGGCCACCCAAGCTGGTGGCCCCGCCAGCACCCCGCGCTCTTAGCTCTCATCTGTGTTTTAGGGGGAGACCTCCACTTTATTTCACGTCACCAGAGCAGCTAGGGCCTTACCGTGAAGAGAAGGGACTGCTAGTCTCCTTGCTGCAGTCACTGAAGCCTTTCAACAACCTCGAGAGGGCTGCTGGGACCTGATACTGTCCAGGACGCTGCAGCTGGGGTAGTGAGTGACATCCCGCGGTGGGAGCTCCCGTGTGCTCCTGCACCTTTGTCAGGGTCTCTCCCTGCTCTTGCTGGCCAGAGGTACCCAAATATGCACCCCACCCCCCCAGCGCCTGGATTGTGTCACACACCCGGATACAGGCACTCGAGTGTGTCCCCCACACTCTGATACAGGCACCCGACTGTGCCCCACACACCCGGATACAGGCACTCGAGTGTGTCCCCCACACTCTAATACAGGCACTCGTCTGTGTCCCCACACACACACCTGGATATAGGCCTCCAACCCCTGTCGCCGCTGTTCCAGGCTCCTGCTCCTCCAGTTGGGCAGGCGCTTCGACGGGAAGTCAGGCACTTTGTACAGTTTCTTGATCTGCAGGGAGGTCACCCAGGTGTGGCCAAAGTCCCAACACAGCCCTCCAGCCTGCTTCACCCAAAGCTTGGCCGCCATGCAACCCTGAGGCTCCAACCGAGGCGGACCACGAGGAATGGTGGTGGTCGGCACAAGGATGAGGAACGCCCAAGGGCGGGCTGGGCGCGCCGGGGCAAAGTCAGCCGCAGCTGGCGTCGCCCTAGCGCGCCGAGGGAGGCTGGGACCCAGCTCTGGCGTCCCCGGCCGGCTCACCCGCTTGTGCAGAGCGTGGAATTCGCTGTAGCGCCTGTGCACCGAGTGCCTCCGCCCGCGGCAGCGCACCTCCACGCGGAACACCTGGTGGCGGAGCGCGCGTGAGGCTCCTCCCGAGCCCCGGGCCACAGGCCGCCCGCGGCGCCGCTCCCACCCGCCTCCGCGCACCTGGGGGACAGGCGGCGGACCCACACGGCCACGGTCCGGGGATAGGGACCCACCGGGAGCCCGACGACCTGGCAGGCAGTGTTCAGATGGCGCTCCGGGCGCGTGCTAATCCCCACTACCCTCGGCGGGGCTCCCCACGCCCCTCGCCATCTCGCGAGCGCGCTCACCATGTGGCCTTTCTCCGGGCTCTGCCTGGGCTCCTCGGCCTCCGGCCCCACCGACGGGATGTGAACTTCCAGCATCCGCGCCTGGCCGCCGCCCCTCCAAGGCGCTACTCAGCGGCTACTCCTCTGGAGCCTGCACAGACCCCTGCGGACGCCCCGCCCCCGGGTCAGGCCCCGCCCCAACCCGCCAGGCCCCACCCCCAGCTCGGGCCTCGGCGCCCCCGCCCCGCTCACGCCCCGCCCCGAGCGCTCCGAGAGCGCGAGCGCCTGAGCCCGAAGAGGAGGCGGGGCTCGGGGTTTGGCGCCGCCCCTGCAGCCTGCCGGCGAGCCGCGGGGCGCAGTCCTCCGCGGGGGTCCTTGTACCGCGCGTTTCCAGTCTCTCACTGGCGGCCAGGTGCGCGCGAGCCGAGACGTCACCTGTTCTTTCTGGAGCACCCAGGAAGGGCTGGGGCCGGGGTGCGGGCGCTGGGCCCCGGGCTCCCGAGGGCCGCGACTCTGCTCGCAGCCCACAGACCTCGCCTGGGCGGGGAGGCGCAGGTTGGGTCCCACTTCAGCACACACCCCGAGTCCTGGAGGTTGAACCGAAGGTCTTCGCACTGAGCTACCTCCCCAGCCCTTTGAAAGAAAAAGTTTGAGACAGGGCCTCACTAAATCCCCCCAGGATGAGCTCGAACTTGCCATCCTCCTGCCTCAGCCTCCCAGCTTGCTGGGATCGCACATGGGCTGCCCCGCGCCCAGCATCCAGGCAGGCCTCTGATTCCTCAGCTGGGGACCAGGGATTGAACTCATGCTCTTGGTCTTGCCAGGCAAGCGCTTATTCTACTGAGCCATCTCCCTGGCCCTGTCTTTGTGTTCTTGTCTTTAAGCCCTTTCTCACTCCAGGCCCTGTCACGTGGAAGAAGCTGTTTAGGGAGCCCAGCTCTGCTGCGGAGGTCACACAAGCCTGGCCCTCAGGACTGGGGTAATAGGGCTCCTGGAGGAGAGCCATCAGGAAGGAGTGCAGCTGGGCGTGGGGTGGCGGCGGGCGGGGGCAGTCTGGGCTATGAGAGGCTGAGGCGGGAGGATGGCTTGAGGCCAGCAGTTCAAGGCCAGCCTGGGCCATATACTGAGACTGCCTCAAAATAAAAACAGCAGGGCCGGCCAAATACCTCAGCAGATTAAAGCGCCTGCTTAGGCAGATGCAGACGCAGGGGCAGGAGTTTGATCCCTGGGCATGCTGTGCTGGCCCCGCCCGCGGGGCACCCTGAGACAGCGTTGAGACAGGGCGCGGTGGCGCATCTGTAATCCCAGCTCTTGGGAGGCTGTAAACAGGAGGATCACTATGAGTCTGATCTACGCAGTGAGACCCTGAACACCCTGTAGACCCTGTCCTAAAATATAAAAAAAGAATAAAAACGGCAAACTCAAGGAAGATGGCCTAAGTCACCCCTCAAGCCTAGCAGGTTTCATGTAAATGGCAGCTTGATTGTGGGTGCAGGGAAGGATGGTGATGGGTGGGTAGGAGGGGCAGGTACAGGGGCAGGCCCAGGAAAGAGGCTCTGTGGGCTGTGGCTCCTGCTCACTGCTCTGGGCAGGACCTTCCAGGGGGTGTGGTGGATTCTTATCTGTAACTCTCACCCCTGTGCTCACCAGAGCCACTGCTTCCATCTCCAGCCCTACTACCACTTCAGGGACCAGGGCAAGACCCCCTGTGCCACTGAGTCTACCAAAGGCCCTGTGAGGTGGGCAAGGGGAGGCCCTGCCCCCACATTTTTTTTTTTTTTCTGGAGATCAAACCCTGGAGCAATCTATCACAGAGCTGTATCTCCAGCCCACCTCCCCTTTTCTTTGCAGTAGTGGGTACTGAACTAAGGACAGCACAGCCCAGCCCTTTTTTATTTTGTATTTTGAGACAGTGTCTTACTAAATCCCTAGGTTGCCCTGGCTACACTTGTACTTGTGCCCTTCCAGAATTCTGGTGTTACCAGCATGTACCACCATGCCAGCCTGAGGTCTGGCCTTCCAAGGCCCTGGAGCAGGAAACAGGAAGCAGAGTGCTGTCTTAGGGACTTAGTCCCTCCTGTCTCTGTGGAGGTGCTTCTGGGCTGCCCCCGAGAGGGCCTCAGAGGATGACCCCAGAGTGGGCAAAGGTCTCACCTCGTTACTGTGTCCCGTACTTTATTCCTCCAAGTTCCACTGTGCTCAGGCTCATAATCAGGAAGGTGAAACCTCCTGGACCCTGGTGTGCCACTGAAAGGGAAACAGCCCACCGTGAGGAGAAGTGCTAGGGTTTCATTTCCTCCCTGGCATGCAGAGCCCTGTGGTTGAGGGGCCCACCTCCCCCTGACCTGCAGGGTCTCCCCAGCGCTGCCTGCCCAGGCACCCATCCTAATGACTGTGTCCTGTTGTCTCTGAGTCTCCCTGCCTTTCCTTAACTCCCTCCCCAGTCTGAGGTCCATTGTCCACCCTGCCACACACACTGTCCACAAAGCTACACTTTCCAACCACACTTAGAATAGACTCACCCTGCTGTCAGTCTGAAAAGACCAGCGCAGGCTCCACATCCCATCTCCTTTCCTCTCTCCTCTCAGGCAGCAGGCTCCAGGCTCAGTGACTTTCCTGTTCTTCAAACCTGACAGGTGCTTTCTGGCCTCAGGTCCTTTGTACTGGCTCTTTCTGCTACCTGGACACTGCCTTGATTCCCTTTCTGAGTCTAAAACACAGCCCCTCAGAGAGGCTTCATTCCTGACCCCCAACTTAGCCCTCTGTCTGCATTTATGATAGTATATAATGATTATTTACTGTGTCTCCACTGTACTATTTAGTATTGGTGCTGGGAGGGGTGGAATGATGGGCGGGCGGGTGGGCT